TCTAATTGGGGTGGGTTATATTCAATTTGCTTCTGTTCCTTAGTGTGGGTTAAGCGTAAAGATTTAAATTGGTTGGTGAGGTTAGTTAAATGATTATTGGCGTTCGTTTCTAATTGGATTAGTCTTTGGTTTAAGGATTGTTGGTTCTGAACAATAGTTTGCATTCCCGACTGAATCTGAATTAAAGCCATTTGCATTTCGGCAATGGTGCCAGTCATTTGCGGGACTTTTTGACCGGTAAATTGTTCAAAAGCAAACGGGGCTAAAGGTAAGAGTTGACCAATAATGGTTAAGAGTCCTGAGTTTGGTTTAGACTGGGTTTGATTATTGGGTTGGTTGGTTTGAGGGTCAGAACCACCATTATTAGTTTGGGTGGTTTCTTTAGGGTTTTGATTAGGGTCGATTTTTACCATATTATTTCGCAATTTGAATGAGAGTATTTAAACCAAAGGCTAAGCCGCCTAAAATAGGCAAGTATTCTGTCACAGCACCAGCATTTAATTGCTGACGGTAATAGTAAATAATTAGACAAAGCACTGCGGCAATAATCAAAAGATATTCTTTTTTTTCAGTGTTTTTTAAGAATGGATAACATAATTAGTTAGTCATTAATTGAAGCAAACCACCAAAGCCTAAGCAACAGTAGCCAATGGGTCGAAGGAATTTAGTGTCGGGTAAATTATCGGATGAACCAAAAAAATAGAGGCCGACACAAACCGCAGCTACTACTAATAGTAATACTTTTTTATCCATTTTATCTTGCTCTATACTTTTTGCTTAACTGACTGTGAAAAGCCTGTTTAAGTTTGCTAAAACAACGAAAACTTAATTTGTAGTAAATATGATTACCATATTTGGGACTGCTTAAACTTTGTTCAGTTTTTTTAAACTTGCCTAAATGACCAAATTTGATAGTTTCTCCATCTTTGGCTTTGAGTAAAGAGTTAAATAAGTCAGTTTGAACGATTTGGTAAGCTTGTTTAATTTGAGTTTGGGTGTAATTCATAAATGATGGGTTTTAGTTGGGGTTTCTTTTTCTTTTTGGGATAATCAATAATTAATGAATTGGGAACATTCATCAGTTTCCTATAAAAAAGTTTTTGGGAAGTGATAAAGGGTATTTTTTAAGTAATTAAAAAATAAATATTTTTTAGAGAGAGCAAGAGAGATAAGAATTTAGGAAAAAAAGAAAAAAAATGGAGTAAGTTGGGTTTGATTTATTTGGAAAAAAGATGAGTAGGTTAAGAAAATAAAGTCAAAAATTAGACCTGTGGCTGTTTTTTAGGTATTTTTTAAGTTAAATGAGGGTTAAAGAATAACCTGCACAATGTATTTTTGAAAACGAGAAAAGTGAAAACATTTGGCTAATTTTTCCTTAAATTCCATAAAATCTAATTCATTAAGTTGTGGTAAAGTAAGGATATCGCGATGACGATGGCTGGCTTTTCAAATTCGATAGCAAGTTTTGCTATCTAAATTAAACAAAGTATTAATATTAATGTAGTTACCCTGAAAAATTGAACCTTCTTCATAAGAGACAATGTGTTGAGCCAAATTATCTCCATCACTCGTTATTTTCTTTTCTTGCGAGGTCATCCCCACTAAAGTCAAAAGATTATTTTTTACTTTGGCAATCAAAAAGTAGTGCATCTTTTCTCCAAAGAGGGGGATAAAAAGTCGGATTATCTGTCGTTCTTGCCACTTGAATATTTTCTTTTTTTCCATGAATTAGTGAGCGACAACTCCCCGTTCAATTCATTGTAATCTATTTGGACAAAAAACTTTATAAAATTCTAAGTTCTCACTATCAAATTCCAAACGGGGATCTTTTTTTCCTTCTCGTCAGACTGAAAATCAAGCGGGATCACTTTTACAAAGGCTTTCTAAGCACTTATCTTGGTGAACTTTAAAGTGTTCAAAGCAAGTCGCGATAAATTGCTTATCCTTAGCATCTTTAAGGTTGGGAACGGTTTGTAAAGAATCAAGTAATCACTCGTTATCATTTTCCGCCAAATAGCGATAAATTTCGTAAACTACTGCTCCACTTTCGAGAGCAATCATTTCATCAGCAAAAAGTAGCCTATCATACTTAGTATAGTAAAATATTTGCAGCAAATGGAGCATTCAATTTAAGCGTCGATTACCAAGCGAGTTATCGGGGTTGCCAAGTTTTATTTGGAAATATTCTTGATTAGTGTCGAGTGATAACAAATATTTAACCACACTCAGTGCTTCGTATTTAGGTTGCTTATTTAATAAACGATTTTTCTTAATAGTGCGAGCAGTAGTTCGGTCCATGTTCATAGTAATTATTTATGGGATATATGTAGTTAACTACACTAATATTTTAAAAAAATTTTTGCGAAAATATTCCTCTCCTGCTTTCATAAAAAATCTATTTAGACTTTTTTCCTTTCTTCTCTTCCCTCTCTTTTTTTAATTGGTCTTTTAAATCTTTCAGTCTTAAAGGTTTTGTTCTTCACATCATCCTTACTAGGTCATCAAATCTCGGATCCAATTCATTAAGAGATTTACGAGGAGATTGGTTTTCTTTATTATTTTGCTGTGAATTATCCCCAGCCTTCTTATTTATAACTTTTCTCATAGCCACTATTATTTAATTTGGTATTTGGAAATGCTATATAATAGTTTTACAATATCTTCCATATGTCATCTTTTAATACCTGCTATTTTGCCAACTTTAATCGTTATAGTTAAAATTAAAATATGGGATAGACATAGGCAAATGTTCCACTTTAAAAGCATAACAGAGTTATTAAAAAAAGATGAACAATGATTTATTGAGTATTTGGAGGAGGTTATATGAAAAGGAAATCCAGTCTCCCCTTTTGACAAAGATTCCAAAGTTTATCCTTGTGCTAACGGCAAATATAAATGTAAGAATACCAATAGATACTTTACTATTAAAACTGAAAGTATTTTTGAAAGAAGTAAAGTAAAATTAAGTGACTTTTTTTATGCTGGTTATATGATGTTTGTGAACAAAAAAGGCATTTCTTCACTCCAATTAGCAGAGGATCTCGGTGTTCAATATAAAACAGCATGGTTTATTGAAAAGCGTTTACGAAAAGTTGCTGAAGATCCTTTGTTTAAGGTTATTTTCAAAGACTTTGCTGAATTTGAAGCAGATGAGACCTTTATTGGAGGCAAGAGCAAGAATAAACACAAAGATAAAAAAATTCCTCATTCACAAGGTCGTAGTCTTAAAGACAAGTCTGTAATAGCAGGGGCAATAGATAAAGAAACTGGCACTCTTATCGCTGAAAAAGTTCCAGATACTACTCAAGCAACTTTAGAAGCATTTATCAAAGATAATATTAAAGAAGGAAGTGCTATTAATACGGATAGACATCATGGTTATAATAATCTATGAAAATGATACGACCACAAAGCAGAGAAATATGTTAAAGGAAAAGCCTCTACTAGTCGTATTGAAAGTGCTTGAGCTCCTTTTAAAAGAAGTTATAATATCCACCACTGAACAAGCGAAAAACATTTGCCAAGATATATTTTCCAATGAACTTTCCGACATAATATTCGCAAATATGATAAGGTAGAAAAACTCAAATTGTTCATGTCTTTAGTTATGGGGAAAAGATTGACTTATAGGGAGTTAACTAGAGGATAAATTGTTTCTAGCAACAATTTTAATGTTCTCCAAGTCCAGCCTCAAAAGCTTTTTTGATACAGTCTAAACACCAACCAATTCTTCCTTGAGCTAGAGCATAGGTATTACTTCCACAATGATTACATAAGTGATATTCGATAATGATTTTTACTCTTTTTGGCATATTTATGATTTCATTTTATAGAACTTTTTGACTGACTGATGAGTTTTTTGAACCTAAACCTCTCCCTGAATGAAAAATTACAATATGACAGAACAAGAGAAATTACAAGAAGAAATAATTAATAAAAGAAAAGAAATAAATAGACTTCGTAAGGATCCTTCTAATCCTCCTGGGTGGATTACACAAGCCGAAAAGGAACTTGAACGATTAGAAAATGAGTATAGGTATCACTTTGAAGGTGGTGACAAACCCACTGTTGATCATCTAGGAAGACCTATCAAGCAAAGTTCAAACAATACTTGAATGGGTTGCAATAAATGTCTTTGAGAACAGCAACTGGAAGATAATCAAACTAAACAAAGTTGTGAAGAAACAGCAGATAAGTGTCCTAACTGCGGTCATCCTTGAAGAGATGAAAATTGAAATCTAAATGGAATTCTTTATTTTTTTCCCTCTAATGACAGGAAAAAAAGAAGTGGAAAATCTTGACTGGATTTAGGTAAGGAAGAAAATAAAGAGCAAGAAAAGCAAGCACTAGAAGAAAAAATAAAACGACTCCAACAACAACTAAACATGGCTAAAAGATTGAGAAAGGAAGGACATCCTACTTATACTGACTATGAGATCCAGAAGTTAGAAGAACCATTAGCCAAGGCAAAGGAGGAATATAAGTCTAAATTTGGAGAATTGCCCTCTTCTTTAAGAGATAATAATGTTGGGGGGGGGGGGGGGGGGGAAAACCCCTCCAAGAATGGAAAGAGTTATGTGTTGTGGATAGTTCTAGTGGTGGTTTTAGTGATTGTTCTTGGGTTAGTTGCTTATTTTCTGTGAGGTAGGAAGAGAGATAAAAGACTATAAAATGAATTCAGTATGACTACACCGCAAGAACAATTTGAAAAGGATTTTCCTGATAAAGGAACAAACCAAATTAGTTGCCTGAATAGATACAAGTATAGCAATTTCTATAATCAAAATTTAGATTTAAAAGAATATACAAATTTAATGTGGTTGGCTCTGGTTGGCAACAAAATCATTTCTTTAAAGTTGGGACTTTGTTTAGATTTAAAAGATTTGAGTTTAGTAGAAAACGATCTAATATCTATTGACTTTTTGAATACTATTCCCAATCCTGAAAAATTAGATAGGTTGTTGATTTACAACAATAACATCGAACCCACAGATATTTCCATATTTAGTAGATTTGTTAATTTAAAAATTCTAAAGATAGGAAGCACTTCCAACTCTTTGGGCAAAAAGAAAAGAAATCGTTTCTATGGCTCTTTTAAGTCTTGAAAAAATCTAACTAAACTAGAGGAAATTTGTGTTGAAGCCACCGATGTAAATGAAGGACTGGAATATTTGCCGATGAGTTTAGCTGAAAGCACAAAAAGAGCGAGGTTTGGTTTTAATAGAATAGGTTATTCCGATATAGAATGTTCCTCTCATGGAACAGATGCCAAATGCAAAGCAATTCAAGATGAACTTCGTCCTTACGACTATGATCTAGAAGCTTGGCAGTTAGCCCATCCCGAAAGAATGATAATTGCTAGACCTGAATATTTTACTAATGCTGACAGTAAAGATAAATGAATAAATGCTTTAAAAAACAAGATTGGAGAGACCGAAGCAGAACTATTATTAACCAAAATAAATGAACCTAATAAAGATAAAAAGATTGATCGTTTAGAACAGAAACAAGAAAACCTTACCGAGGTTTTTACTCCCTCAGTCGTTCCAGCGACTGAGATTGGAAGAGAGACAAAAAGAAACAAAGAACTAACTAGGGAACAAAAACTTTCTAGGATCAATTATTTAGAAAAAGAACTAAAAGAAATTAGTAAACAAAGAAAAGATTTGGAAAGAAACCAATCTAGGAGTGAGACTTGAAGATTTTCTTATGAAGATGCTTACTTCATAAATTCAAGTCATGATGAGAAAATAGATGATGGCAAGCGAAGAATGAAAGAGATTAGAGAGGAAATAAATAAACTGCAAAATGAATTAGAAAACAAGATTGAAATCCCTCCCAAAAACTAGTTTATATGAGAATAATCCAAAACTCTCCTTGTCAGAAGTGTTCGCCAGAAGAGAATAAAAAACATTGTTTTAGTTGTAATTCCTGTCTGACTGAATATTATAGAGAAATTACTCTCCATGGAATAGAAAGTGGTCTCTGTTCTGAAAAGTGATGTGAGAATAATTTTCTTATAGTTTGGGAGAATAGTAAATACCTGAAATGTAATACCATAGGTTAGAAGCAAGGATTAGTTTTTATTGTTGTAGTAAAATAAGTTCATATAGTTAGTGTAGTTAACTACATAAATCCCTTATTTATTAATTTATGTGTCACTCTATGTGATATGTTAATTTTAAAGAATAACCTAAGTGTAGTGTGTTTTTAAGCAGTTTTTATATGCTATTTTTTTTCTAACTCTAACTGCTGTTGGTATTGTTTAATCTCCTTTTCAACAACTTTAACTTTTTCTTGTAAAGATAAAATTTTGCTTTGTAATCTAGTCAAATAACAACTCCTTTTCTTAATCAAATAAGTAAATACTCCTTGGCGAGTGCGTAAATCTATTTCTGGGAGGGTTGAGCAACTAGCACAGCCTTGACAAGCATAATTTTGGATTTTGATTTTTTCAATATCAGAGTAGAGCATAATTTTAGAGTAAAAAGCCTTTGCGTTGTAAATTAGTTAATAAAAAACGGACATCTTTTTTTAAATATTTCTCAGTAGTGCGGAATTGGGAATGACCGAG